TGTAATTGTAATCTGGTTGAGCCAGTTCCTGCGAACTCACTGGCTGAAGCTGCCACTTGATCCATCCCAACCCGTCCTGCTGAGACAAGGCCCTCAAGCTCAGTGAGAGCCTCCAGGAGCTCAATTGGGTCGGTGGTGGGAGCGGCCATGCCAGGAGAATGCAGATCTGTTTGTCGCAGGGGTTTGCTGAGTCTATCTGCAGGAGGGTTTCGATTCTCCGTGATTCTTAGGAATGTTGGGGATGCCTTGGACTCTCCAACAAGTCTGGATGAGGAAGCATGAGGAAGCATGCATTTCCTCAAGTCCTCCTTTGACGATTTGTAATCTACAAAGTTGCAATATGGTTTGACCCATCCAAAAATGGACTGTCTTCAAAATGATCTTGGAGAAACCTCCCAAAATGAACGACACACTTATAACCCTGGACACACCCCAAGCTCCAAACGCCAGACTCCCAACCATGCCCCAAAAGAAGAGAAGGCGCGCTCGCGCTCTGCGCGCCTTCCCAGCGTTGCAGAGGCCACCCCCGCACTCCGAATCGGTTGCCTCAGACCGTTTCGGCTGAACGACGCCCGGCCTTTTCGACCGTCGGCTCGGTTCGGTTCGGCGGCGAAGGCGCGTGTCCGGTTCGGTCGAGCGGCAGAAGGGATTTGTGCAATCTGGTTGTATCTGGAAAATACGGGCCCAAGGAGAAGGAGGTGCTGTTTCTGGTGTTTGCCTTTTGTCTCACTCACTAGGGTATCTTGACATGCCTTGCCATGCCTTGACATGGGAGTGGGTCAACTCCAATCCAAAAAAAAGACATGTTATTATACACAGACATATACATCATACACAGCGGTGCAACAACTGTATTTGTATATAAGAGAAGGACTGCTCACAGTGAAAAGCCTGTTCATTCCCCAGAAAACGCTGCCCCCCCCACTGTGCTTTGGACCAATTCCGGCCTCATGTCTTCCCCAGCTACACCGGAGACTGGACACTTGCCACGTGACCACATGACCACGTGACCACATGACGTGTCACCTCTTAGTTCTCGCAGGTGAGGTGGCGGGGGGGCCCGAACGCACCAGGAGTCCACCGTGGCGCACGCGCACCTTCAAGCCATCGGGGGAGTCTTCTCCACGCGCCCTGCAGAGCTCCAGTATGGGACACTGCATGGGATTTTCAAACATGACCGATGGGACTGGCAGATGTGCAGATCACTTGGTTTGGTCAATGTAGGTGTGTGTGTGTGTATCTCTATCTATCTATCTATCTATCTATCATTATCTATCTATCTCTATCTATTATATGTACAGTATATGTACAGTACAGTATGTGTATATATTCCACTCCAGTGGAGCGCTTGGGCGTGCGATGGAACCATCGTATGTTCAATGATATTTTCAGATGTGAGCGTTTGGATGTTTTCATCTGGGTGGTCTGCCTGTCACAGAAAGCTGGATGATGGTGATGCCTAGAGTATCTCGACGGAACCTCTACCTTTCGGCCCGGCGTGCATCCATGGCGCTGAAGGCTGGATGATGCGCTGAAGGCTTCTGCCAACCGGCAGAGTATCTTGTGCCTTTTGCTGGTCCAACTCCCAAGGCTCGATGAAAATCCATCCACCCAAAATGTCATCCGTACACCCGGCACTGCCAGGCACTGCCAGGCCAGGCACTGCCAGGCCACTGCCAGCCACTGCCAGGCATGTCTTTTTCGGGGTTACCTCTCCTCTCCTCCTCACCTCACCTCCCACCTGCCCAGCTTCACCAGCTTCCCCTTCCCAGCTTCACCAGCAGGGGCCTTCGGACCACGTCGCCCACAAAGAAGCGGTACCACTCCGCCGACTCGCGCAAGCCTACCACCTCTGGGCGATGGATCTCGCTCGAGGTCGTAGGAGGAGTCGTGGCGGATGACGTGGCGGTCGGGTGCAGAGCCGCAGGTGCTGCCGGTTCAAAGGTTCTAAGGAAAGAAGTTGAAAGAAAATGACAGAGGGGAGTGCTGGGGTGTTCCTGTGACTGTTCTTTTATGCTTTCACAGAGACACGGGCGACTGCTTTTCAGAAAGCGACCGTGTAGGAGGCAGCGTATGGGAGGAGGCAGAGTGTATGTGCCATGATGTGCCATGATGGCTTCTAGAGACCTTCTTTGACACATCTTGTTGGTGGTAACACCAGCACCATGGCAACAACATGGTAACACCTCATGATACCGGCTCCTCAGTGTTACACCACCGGCCCAACCACGCACATGTCCTCCTACCGCTTGCGGTCACGGCCCATGCCTTGCCGCGATACAGTGCCATCCGCTGCTCTGGGCCTCGGCTGGCCAATGAATTGGGTGGATCCTTTTCAGTCTAAATGACATGGTTTTGGGCTGCCGCTAGTTCTAAAAGTCCAGTTCCAAAAAGACCTGGTTTTTACGACTGAAGAACAAGGGCAAGTCCAATCGACGAGGTCATACTCGGTCCAGGGCGGTACATGGGACTGCCTGAAGGGAGTCCCCAAACATCATCACATGGAACCAGGTCAACTAGACCTCTTGCCAAGATCACCTCGCTTCCTGTGGCTGCTAGAGTCTGGTGGTCCTCCTGTATTTCTGTGGACATAAGAGAAGCTATAACCTTAACCTTGCAAACAAGAACCAGTTGACGATATTCATAACTGTAGGATCTTTAAGGACTTTGCTCGAAGAAGAACTTGACAGGTGCTCCAGAAAGGAATGGACGTTGTCATGACATCTTTGATGTCAAACTTCCTGAATCGAAGGGTCGCTGAATCCAAGAAGTCTATTCGGAGCAGAGATGTCCAGCAATACAAGGATCAGCTAAGGGGAAGCTCACAGGGATCGATGAGATAGCCAAAGGAACGTGCTTGTCTGCTCGAGTGGAGACCCTTTTTTTTGAGCTATACTCCAAAAAGCATTTTGCATAGGTCTCCAGCAGTTCGTGTTGTTCGGGTTGTTTCAGCATGGCAAAGTCACTGGGCAGTCACCGCTTCGTACTCCGAGACGCGTCCGAGACACTTTACGATGAGTTCTACTAAAACCCTCCTGATGCGTCGCTCGTTGAAGCTCGTTGATGAGTCACTCGAAGCCGCTCCAACGATCCCAGAAGTGCCCGCATGAGTTGTTCCAGCGGCAGTCGTCCAATGGCCGGGGTCTTTAGGCAAGGCACCTTCCTGCGCCAGGGCTGTTGTGGCGGGCAAGGCCAGTGGCAAGGAGACCAGGACGGCTCGGCGTGGTATGGCCTGGTCGTGGTGCGCAAGGAAGGACCTGTGACAAATGCCTTGGTCAAGAGGGGGAACTTCGATCATTGCTCTCTTGTTTCCAATAACTTTGCTTTCACTGTGGTAGCAGGTGAAAAAAAAGACAAATAAAACATCACCTGTGTGAAAATCGTTCGCACATGATACACACAACTAAGTGAAGAGATTCAAAAGACCTGGTCGCACTAAGATCGATGTTTTCCTCAAACGAGAGTGAGTTCAATCGGCAAAGGATCGGGTAAGAAGCAATCATCGTCTCTCTGCCGCCTGCGGAACCCAAGTGGAAGGTGCTCGGCATAGGAGGCCAATGGTCAGCGGCACCTCGGTCAGGCGGTCGGCACCGAGCGGCCGGTCCTGCCGAGCGGTTTTCAGCGGTTTCGCGGTGTTGCGAAGGAAGTCTCAGAAGTTCAGACTGTCAGCTTCACTTCGCTTGTGTATCTGTGAGTGAAAACTGTCTTCACGAGTCTTCTCACACAAACAGAAACGATCGGGCCTGTTATATATGTTTTGTTTTCCCTTGGCCACCAACGGCCAGCCGTGCCAAAACCGGTGCCGGCGGTGATGGACATCACATCCAACGATCACCCAAAAATGAAGAGAGTGAACGACCTGGGATATCAACCTACAGTGTGTTTTTTTGGTACCCCCAAAAAATGTGACTCATGAAATTCTGAAAGTAGATATGGATGTATACAGTGCAGGATCCTTTCTAGGACCTGAATTTTGCTGGATCTTTCTCACACCCTCCGATCGCCATCGACTCCGATCGCCATCGACTCCGTCTGGACACGGCCATGGCAGCCATGGCACGGCCAGCATGCGCCGCATGGCAGCCATGGGTGCAAGCAAGACGAGCAGGCAGCGGATGATCGTCCGCAGGAGTTTGCAGAGGGCTTGATGATGTTTGTATGGCATGATGAGTCTTGGCTGTTTTGTTTCTTGTTCTACAGGTCATGATCATCAAACTGTGAAGACGGTTAGATAAGTTAGATAGGGATCTTTGATGGCTCTTGTTGGAGACACACCGTGTGTGCAAGATGCGGGACAGATCTGTGATCTGTGAGTCGTGAATTCTATATAAATCTCCGCTATTCACAGCAAATCACCCAAGATTTGCCAATAGCTCAGCTTTAGCTCCGCTAAAGGAAGTTGGCCGCACCAAGAACAACTTCAACTCAGCTTCCATGGGTGGTGTTACACCTCCTGCTTCCAAAGATGCTCTTTCCAGAGGGGTGCTTACTCCGCTGAGCAACGCGTGGATTTTTTTTGATCTTTTGAGTAACGCGGACTGCCCTCTCTCTGTGCTCAAGGGTGATCCTGAGAGCCATAATATGCCCAGACAGCAAACCAGCTGCAGCTACCCAGCCATGCAAAAAGAGTATGTATGATCTCCTGAATTACTATATACCCGATCTACACCAATCGAATTCCTAAATCAATACCACGCGGTGACCTGATTGAAAGGCAATGATGTCATTCATCATATCATCCCAGTCGTTGAATCGAAATCAAGCCACGCCGCTGAGGTCCATCGCTTGCTTCTTCCCGGTGCGAAGGCATCACACACAGGATCGCTGCACTAACCACCTACGCCCCGCCTTTCGTGTCCAAGAAGGACCTTCTGGACAGCGAGAAACCGTACAGCCACCGGGTTTGACTCAGTGTCTGCACCGTCATCGGCCCACCCCTGTTGGTCATGAAGATGGGAGCAACCAAACGACCAAGGAACCGCTTCCGGATGAGAAAACGACGCGTTTCAACCAAGGTGGCTGGACAACCACTTCTGCATGACCAACGCGCAGGACAATTCTATTCCAAAGGGAACCTCTCCCTCCGAGGAAACCAGGAAAATCTCCCCAGAGCGAGAAGTGCCCAGAGCCATGCATTCCAGAGCTTTGGAGTACAAACAGGCTCCGGCCTGGTGAAATCGGGCCATTTGAGTAGAATTTGGGTTGGTGGTGTAACAACCAACTCGCAGAGAAAAGAGAAATCCGGTGACACGGAGACTTTCTTGATCCACATTCGTCCGATTGCTATAGCCGCAGTTCCCAACTTGTGCCCTGCACTTTGCAACACGCCAGAGTTCCCATTCCCACCACCTCAGTCATCAATGAACTCCACCAACAGCGTGCACGGGCCCTGCCATGTGCAGACCACCATTTAGACCGACGGGAAAGCAACGAAAAGGCAAGGGAAAGCGCAAAATACCACCTGGACATGGCTCAACAATCTTCCAAAAGCAGGTACACCATGGTACACCGCAAACCGCCTAAGAAGGTCAATTGAGTCTTCTTTTGGTCAACATGCCACATTCTTGTTCAGCAGAAAAAGAACCGAGAAACTCATGTTGGTCCAACAGATATACATATATATAATGGGGTCATCTGGTTCAATTGGAGATATATATATATTATAATATTACATAATCGGCCATTTTGGGGTCCTGGCAAATGAAGACCTTGTCTCTGCGAAGGCCTTTGAATGTTGAGACATCTCATACCCAAATGAAGCCATTGGTTTACAGGTCTGCTTACCCAGCCCTCCCAAACCGAACCCAACCGCCTTGAGGCCCGCCGCTGCCAGAGTCAAGTCACGATCCTGGAGGACGGCCCCGCGACAAGCCCTGAGTATGTTAGGCACAAAAGGTGTACTTGGCCCTCAAGTCCAAAACCAAGCGCCCAGTCAAGACCCTGCAGTTGACACTACAAGTTCAGCCAGGTTGAGGTTCAACTCCATTCCATTTTCCCTGCAACCTGCAAGCAAAAAGCCGTGCAGCCACACCAAACCCCCCGGTCCATCCTCCGCACCCCCTCCGCTTCCTAAGCACGCCCCCCCACCACGCCCCACGCCCCATCTCCACCACCGCGCGACACCTCTCCGCGCCTCCCCACACGCGCAAACCGCGCCGCGCCAAGCGTCGGTGCCTCGTAGGTGCGTCTGGGCATCGTCTCGACCAAGCGAAAGGACCGGCCCCGGACGGCCTCGATCGGAGCGGCTGGGATCGGCGCCGTCGATCGTCGTGCCGGGGGTGAAAAGCGCACGGATTTCAGAGCGCACTGGGTGAAACGCCGGTGATGGTGATGGGGTAGGGAAGTGGTAGGAGAAGCAGTAGTGGCAATAGTGGTAGATGGAAGTATGTTTGTGGTGGTATACATAATGATGACAGTGGTAGCGGTCGGTAGCAGAGCCCCTAAGACTAGGAGAAGTAGAGATGAATTGACTGACGGTCAAAATTCAATTGTGTGGCTGCAGATCATCAGGATTTGGTGAGTGTACTGAGCGATATCGTGTTTTCCATGTCCCTCACCTTATCACTCTGGTGAAGGTTTTGTTGTTGCTCAGTCAAAACATGCACTCTGACTGTTTATTTCTTTCACGAAATGTTGCTCATCTTTCACAAATCCGATGATGGGATCCGGCCTTCAACACCATTGAGAGATGGTGGAACATCTCTTATATAGGCTGAAGCCTTCAGACCTGGGGATGATCCCATAGCCATCTAGCTCTTTGCCACTGATCTTCCCACCAGGCCGCGGGCGCACCGCGGCGGTTCCGCGCCTCTCCGCCCTCCAAGAGCACGAAGGCGTAGACCTCCCCAGGCTCGAGTCGAAGATCCGAAGAACGCCCGGGGAGGGGGTCGGGGAGGGGGGTCACCATGGCGAGACATGGTTTAAACGATATGTGTTCGCTATAGGGGAAAAGGATCGGCCTCCAAACTTGCGGGGGGGGCGGAGTGAAAGGGCCCTCAGCAGCTTTCGGAAACTGGGAACATGTGCAGTGAACGTTTGGGGCTCAAGGGTTCACATCAAATACGTTTGAGATATTGGACTCTATAAATACTGTAGATATCAAATAGAGAACCTCCCAAGAAGTTGTAGCCTTGTGAAAGTCATGGAAAGCCACATTCACCACTCACCGACCGCCACGCTGATCCTGCGCATGGCGCCCACGAGCTACGACCGCCACCGCCTGTGCGATGGTATTCTCGGCGGCAAAGGCTCTCTTCAAGCGCCTGTCATCGTGCGCGTTGTCGCAGGAGACCAACCCTAGGCCCGGCCCTAGGGCGTTGGTGGTGGGAGGAGACCAACCCATCGGAGGGAGGGCTCTGGCATTAAAGATTATTGGCCGGATTTTCCATGGCCGGATGGCTAGAGGAAGTGGTATATATATATAATATATATATATAATACCATGATGGCATTTCATGACCCGTGGCTCCTGAAGCGAACCTCCCTGTGCTCAAGCGCCAGAACCTCCTCTCAAAGGGAATCATTCCAGCGGGAAGTCGGGAGGACACGTTACGTTCTCACCGGCTTTGTTCAAAAGAGGTCCATGTCCTTGAGCACTCAGAAGCACTGGAGAAGCAGGAGAAGAAGAGAAGGAAATCCCAATTTGGTGGATCCATCCACTGGGACTTCTCTCGCTTTTCCCCCAAGACTCCGCTCGCCCCGGCACTCCGCACTGCTCCGCCTCCCGTCGGGGGTGCGGATGAGGAACTGCAGGCAGGCGCTGCCATCACTGGGCCTTGAGGATGTGAAAAGAGATGCGTCGTGTCGACGCATAAGCAGACAACACGCAAGCTCCAGCGGTGCTGAACTGAATGGGGAATGAATGGGGCACATCCAAAAGAATCCCAAAAGCATGAAACGCAAAAAAAAATAAAAACGAAACAAGAAAAAACTTCAAAGGTGTATAATTTATCATCTCTCTCCTTCAAAAGCTTCGGTGCCAGCAGTTCCTAGGTATACATTCCCCCAATCAAGTCCGGAGATTACCGCTTCCGAGGCCTTGCTCTCAAACACTAGGTATTCGTCTGCAGCAACCATCCCGCACAGCAGGATCTCAGGCAAACTGACCCCCTCCCAGGTTCCAAAAGCTTGCGCGACCGAACACCCCTTCGAACCGCCAACGGTGGTTGAGGCGTAGACTCTGGAGGAAGCAACTGCTTGGCCTGGCGCATGCATGTTGGATCTCGGGCGCATGGGAACCACGTCACCCATCCCATCGATTTTGGCGCCGACGAGGCGGGCGGGAAAGGGTTGCTGCCGGGCAGGTCGCTGCTTTTAGCGGAAAGTCGCACAGGTCGGGGAATTCGGAAAGTCTTCAACAGGGAAGAGCCCGCCGCCCACTCAGGGCCCAGAGAGGGCTGAGCTCAGACCTCGAAGCTTCAAGTGCCCGGCCTCTTCCATGAGCTCTTGGATCTTCTCCTTCTTCGCTTGCTCGGCGGCCTCTGCCTCTCCAGCACGTGGCAGGGGGAAGGTTGGGAAGACGCGCATCCTCTGAGTTAGATATATAGAAGATTACAAAAACGTCTTTTCTTGTCGTTTGCATATTCCATAGTACAATTTCATTTCACTTGAGGATAACCACATCAAAAATGCGTTTGAAGACTGAAGAATCCAGAAACCTCAAGACACCCGATTTCATCGCTTTTGAAAAACCATGCCTTCCACACCTGAAAACGGGCTCAAGCCTTCCAAATCCCTGGCGTTTCGCGCAACGCTCGTCGCGCTACGTCAGGAGGACCCGCCTGTTTGGCCTGGGACTCAAGTTCCTCAGCCTCGCGGCGCCTCTGCTCCTCTTCCTCCTTCTGCCTCTGCCGGCTGTGCGGAGGGGCCCCCAAAAGCGGAGCTTGGGCCCCGGAAGAGCTCCCGGGCTATGGAGGGAGTTGAGACCTGCGGCTTGGGTTTCTTAGCTAGCGGCTGTCTGTCATGCTGGTTTTGGAGGGGATCAATATGGCAAATCCAAAAGCGTGGGAGCGGAAATCACATCTTGAAAGGTGTCCTGCTCTGTTCATGTTCTGGGTTTTCACCAGGGTCCAGGGTTCAGCTTGAGCCACTTATTAGACATTATGTCGCGTCACAAGCCAGCTTCTCGTCAGACTTTCAGTGGAGGTCCTCCAGTCAATCAATGATTTCTCGACCCTAGAAAACGGGTGAAAAGTGTGATTCGTTGTTTGACCAATTTCTGACTTATTGATCTTGTTGTGCAACGGTGGATCCTGACAGTTCAAAACATGTCAACAATACCATATTGATCCCTGTTGCGACCGACGGCAAAGGTTGACTTTTGGGCTGATACCGAGGTTGATATATTGGGATAGGTCAAAAGTTGAAATCGTTATTCTGAGTTCTGACGTTCAAAAAGAATAAAAGAAAACGTGACGTGGAACGCAGGCACGCATCACAGCTCCCCGAATTGCAAAAAAAACAACGATGGTCTATGCCACTAAAAGGACATTCCATGATTGCCCAGACACTCTTCCCCTCCAATCAATAGTTCTTTGGTCTGGGGCTGCAATTGTTGAATCAATCTGAATCACGTGTTCTGGCATCGCTAGACTGTTGATTTGGGCAACCCCAAATCATGAAAAGGAAAAACAAAGGTGTAGGTCTGTAGGTCTGGATCCTTCCAGCACCAACCGGTCACCAACCGGTCACCAAGAGTCACCTGTAGAGTCCTGTGTTGCTTTTGGATTCTTCTTTGAGGCCCGGACCACCCAACGTCCAACCGTCCAACCCTCCAACGCTTCCGGACCACCCATCCGAGACGGAGCCACCCGGCCTCAGGGCCTCTTGGGCGGCTCGCTCCCGGTCGATCCTCACGCTCTCCTCGCGCGGAAAGCACGAACGGCTGGAAGCCAAGGGCCCAGACGTTTGGAAGAGCACCTGAAAGTTCATTGGAGAATGGGGAACCCCCTTAGAACGTGGGTGAAGTATCAAAAAAAACTATTTATCGCATCAAGAAAAACTTATTCAAGGGGATCAATAAAA